TTCTAGCATTGTTGAGGCAGTTGATAGTGGTAAGGATTGCGATGTTGTATACCTTGACTTTAGCAAAGCTTTTGATACAGTGCCACATGAAAGACTGATTAAAAAAATAGAGTCTCATGGTATTGGGGGTGCTATATTAAGCTGGATTAGGGCATGGCTATACCAAAGGAAACAGAGAGTTAGTATAAATGGAATCAAGTCAGAGTGGGAAAATGTTGTAAGTGGAGTGCCTCAAGGCTCTGTCCTGGGACCTCTGTTGTTTATAATATATATAAATGATTTAGATTCAGGTTTGAGTAGCAACATTTGCAAATTTGCCGATGATACGAAAATCGGTAGGGAAATAATTCGGAGGAGGACTCACTATCACTTCAAGTTGATCTAGATAGGGTTTTGAAATGGTCAAAGGATTGGCAGATGCAGTTTAATGCTGATAAATGTAAAGTTCTGAGGTTAGGTAATGATGATAGAGTTACAAGATACGAGCTAGATGGTGTTGTGATTGCGAAGTCGGATTGCGAAAGGGATCTGGGAGTTATGATTAGTAAGAATTTAAAACAAAAGGATCAATGCATAAATGTTCGTAATAAGGCAAATCGGACACTTGGATTTATTAATCGTAGCGTTAGTAACAAGACACCTGGTGTGGTTCTCAAGCTATATCTTGCTCTAGTTAGGCCCCATTTAGATTATGCAGTTCAGTTTTGGTCGCCATATTATAGAATGGATATAAATTCACTTGAACGTGTCCAGCGTAGGATGACTAAGTTAATTCCCCAAATTAGAAATCTTTCATATGAAGAAAGATTAACAAAGCTTAAGTTGCATTCACTGGAAAGGCGAAGAGTTAGGGGTGACATGATAGAGGTTTACAAGTGGATGAATGGACATAACCGGGGGGATATTAATAGGGTATTAAAAGTATCAACACAGGACAGAACACGAAACAATGGATATAAATTGGATAAGTTTAGATTTAGGAAAGACTTGGGTAAATACTGGTTCAGTAACAGGGTTGTTGATTTGTGGAACCAATTGCCGCGTAACATTGTGGAGGTGGGGTCCCTCGATTGTTTCAAGCACGGGTTGGACAAGTATATGAGTGGGATTGGGTGGTTATAGAATAGGAGCTGCCTCGTATGGGCCAATAGGCCTTCTGCAGTTACCTTTGTTCTTATGTTCTTATGTTCTTATGATCAATGCATAAATGTTCGTAATAAGGCAAATCGGACACTTGGATTTATTAATCGCAGCGTTAGTAACAAGACACCTGGTGTGGTTCTCAAGCTATATCTTGCTCTAGTTAGGCCCCATTTAGATTATGCAGTTCAGTTTTGGTCGCCATATTATAGAATGGATATAAATTCACTTGAACGTGTCCAGCGTAGGATGACTAAGTTAATTCCCCAAATTAGAAATCTTTCATATGAAGAAAGATTAACAAAGCTTAAGTTGCATTCACTGGAAAGGCGAAGAGTTAGGGGTGACATGATAGAGGTTTACAAGTGGATGAATGGACATAACCGGGGGGATATTAATAGGGTATTAAAAGTATCAACACAGGACAGAACACGAAACAATGGGTATAAATTGGATAAGTTTAGATTTAGGAAAGACTTGGGTAAATACTGGTTCAGTAACAGGGTTGTTGATTTGTGGAACCAATTGCCGCGTAACATTGTGGAGGTGGGGTCCCTCGATTGTTTCAAGCACGGGTTGGACAAGTATATGAGTGGGATTGGGTGGTTATAGAATAGGAGGTGCCTCGTATGGGCCAACAGGCCTTCTGCAGTTGCCTTTGTTCTTATGTTCTTATGTTCTTAGGTGCTTTCTGGGGCTTAGCGTCCCCGCGACCCGGTCGTCGACCAGGCCTCCTGGTTGCTGGACTGATCAACCAGGCTGTTGGACGCGGCTGCTCGCAGCCTGACGTATGAGTCACAGCCTGGTTGATCAGGTATTCTTGAAAAGCTGATTTTGGTAGCCTAGGAGGTTTTTTGGGTCAAGTTGATTGGAGGGTCTTGGGTGTGGGGTGTGGGCCGGTCTTGGAGCGAGGCATGAGCCCAGCGATGGGTGACTTGGGTGGGGATTTCGATGTGGATTCGGTGTATGACTTGTTAAAGAATATTCTAAGCAAAGCACAGGAACGTGGTGTGCCATGCAGGTTGAGTGGATCGAATGCTAGTGACCCGGAGTGGATAGCAGGGAATTTGAGGAGCCTTGTAGGTGGGGAGGGAGCTTGGTACGGGGGGATTGGGAGTGGGGAGGTCGCTTTGGAGCGGGAGTTCGTGCAGCTGGTTGGGGGTGTTAAGGGGGGGATAGGGAAGGCGAAAGGAAGCTGTGGGGTTCGCATAGCGGGGCGGGCGGGGACGGGTCCTGGGGTTTTTTTTCAGTTGTATCGTGCTGGGACTGGGGAGGGGATGGGTCCGTTAGAAGCTGAGACGGGTCAAGTAGCAGATGGTGGTGGGGAGATGAGTGGTATTTTTGATAAATGTTTTGTATCTGTATTTGCTGGGGAGGAGCTTGACAGTGTGCCTTCGGCCGAGCGGGTCTGTGTGGGTGGGGACGGGGACGGGTTGACGAGTTTGGCGGTTGCCAGGGAGGATGTTCTTAGGCAAGTGGTGGGGCTCGGGCCAGGCAGGTCCCCGGGGCCGGATGGAGTGTTTGCCGGGGTGCTTGGGGAGTGCGGGGGGGAGCTTTGTGGCCCACTGTCAACCATGTTTGATGAATCAATGGAGTCGGGCGGGGTGCCAGAGTTTTGGGGGGTTGCTGGTGTGATGCCGGTTTTTGGGAGGGGAGATGGATCGCTTGCGTCTAGCTATCGACCAGTTGGCCTGGCGTCTGTTGTGGGAGGGTTGCTCGAGTCTGTGATGGCAGATGGAGTTCGTCTTCATCTTGAAAAACATAAATTGATGGTTGAGTCGCAGCATGGTTTTGTGGATGGCCGTTCGTGTTTGACAAGTTTGTTGTCTTTTTGTTCTAGCATTGTTGAGGCGGTTGATGGTGGTGGGGGTTGCGATGTTGTGTGCCTTGACTTTGGCAGAGCTTTTGATGCAGTGCCACATGGGGGACTGGTTGGGGAGATGGAGTCTCGTGGTGTTGGGGGTGCTATATTGGGCTGGATTGGGGCATGGCTGTGCCGGGGGAAACAGAGAGTTGGTATGGATGGAATCGGGTCGGAGTGGGAAGGTGTTGTGGGTGGGGTGCCTCGGGGCTCTGTCCTGGGACCTCTGTTGTTTATAATATATATGGGTGATTTGGATTCAGGTTTGAGTGGCGACATTTGCAAATTTGCCGATGATACGAGGGTCGGTGGGGGGGTTGGTTCGGAGGGGGACTCACTGTCACTTCGGGTTGGTCTGGGTGGGGTTTTGGGGTGGTCAGGGGATTGGCGGATGCAGTTTGGTGCTGATGGGTGTGGAGTTCTGGGGTTGGGTGGTGATGGTGGAGATGCGGGATGCGAGCTGGGTGGTGTTGTGGTTGCGAGGTCGGGTTGCGGGGGGGATCTGGGAGTTGTGATTGGTGGGAATTTGGGGCGGGAGGATCAGTGCGTGGGTGTTCGTGGTGGGGCAAATCGGACACTTGGATTTGTTGGTCGCGGCGTTGGTGGCGGGACACCTGGTGTGGTTCTCAAGCTGTGTCTTGCTCTGGTTGGGCCCCATTTGGATTATGCAGTTCGGTTTTGGTCGCCATGTTGTGGAATGGATATGGGTTCGCTTGGGCGTGTCCAGCGTGGGGTGGCTGGGTTGGTTCCCCAAATTGGGGGTCTTTCATGTGAAGAAGGATTGGCGGGGCTTGGGTTGCGTTCACTGGAGGGGCGGGGAGTTGGGGGTGACATGGTGGAGGTTTGCAGGTGGATGGATGGACATGGCCGGGGGGATGTTGGTGGGGTGTTGGGAGTATCAACACAGGACGGAGCGCGGGGCAGTGGATGTGGGTTGGATAAGTTTAGATTTGGGAAAGACTTGGGTGGGTGCTGGTTCGGTGGCGGGGTTGTTGATTTGTGGAACCGGTTGCCGCGTGGCGTTGTGGAGGTGGGGTCCCTCGATTGTTTCAAGCACGGGTTGGACAAGTATATGAGTGGGATTGGGTGGTTATAGAATAGGAGCTGCCTCGTATGGGCCAATAGGCCTTCTGCAGTTACCTTTGTTCTTATGTTCTTATGTTCTTATGTTCTTTGGAGGTGCATTCACTGGAAAGGCGAAGAGTTAGGGGTGACATGATACAGGTTTACAAGTGGATGAATGGACATAACAAAGGGGGATATTAATAGAGTATTAAATGTGTCAACACAAGACAGAACACGAAACAATGGGTATAAATTGGATAAGTTTAGATTTAGGAAAGACTTAGGTAAATACTGGTTCGGTAACAGGGTTGTTGATTTGTGGAACCAATTACCGCGTAACGTGGTGGAGGTGGGGTCCCTCCATTGTTTCAAGCGTGGGTTGGACATGTTTATGAATGGGATTGGGTGGTTATAGATAGGAGCTGCCTCGTATGGGCCAATAGGCCTACTGCAGTTACCTTGTTCTTATGTTCTTAACTTCAGATCTACAAGATCTTGTTGAAGTTCTCGGTGTACTAGCTGCTGCTTTTGCTCAGGGAGAAGAATTGTTGTTTAACGAGGGGGATGCACTTTCACTAATCCAATGTACCTTCTTATATATAAATAAATAAATAAATAAATAAATAAATAAATAAAATAAAAGTGAAAATAAAACACACTTGTCAGCTCTATGCCCAGTAGTGCATCCACTATGGGAGAGCTGTTTCCTTTTAAAAGTATAATCATGTGGCATTATGTTTAAAGAAACAATTCCAAGTACATTCTTTGATTGAAAAACATGAGGATAAATACAAGTGTTAATTGTAAATTACTAGTTATAAACAAAAATAAGAAACAGGAAAAATGAAATGTGGACCCAGACAAAAACATTGGAACGCTTAGGTGAAGAGGGGTGCGCGACCGCCTCCATATAAGCAGCACCAGCCGGTGATATCCAGATTGAAGAAGAAGAAGACACCAAATTGAAGAAGAAGAAGACACCACATGAAGAAAGATTGTTTCCACCTTGAATGCTGAAGCACTGCCACCGCCGCCTTCCAGACCCGCCTCCAAGCCTAGCCAGTTGTTGGGTTGTTTGCAGCATCGACGTATTGTCACGCAGCTGGGTTTAGCCCTGGCACTTTTTCTTCAACTTCAGCATTTCCTCTCACCGACTACTCTTCAGCTGTCCCCACTTCAAGGCTCGCCCCAATGGGCATCTTCTCCTGTATTATTCAATTCAGTTCAGTGATATCCAGCAGTCACGCAGGGTGCAGTCGCACCTCCACAGATCTCCAGTATCATCTATTGATACTGGTAATTGCTCAGAAAGGCCTCCACTTACGGGCTATTCATGCCCGTGCCACCTTTTAGGTGGCTTAATCTTCGTCATTCATTAATCTTCGTCGATATCCAGCACGAGCATTAAGGAAAAACCTTGACACAAACTGCACCTATCATAAAGAAGAAGCACCACCATTGACCGCCAAGTGCTCACATCAAGTCTAACTCTAAGAAACAACACTCAAGCCTTGACGCTTCTCCCAACATCCGGGGGAGAAAACCTTCACACAAACTGCACCTGTCATAAAGAAGATGAAGACTCACCAGTGTCCACAGTGTCCGAAGGTATTCACCCGTCCTTCATATGTGAAGCGTCACATGTTAGTGTATTCAGGTGAGAAACCTCATGACTGTCCTGAGTGTGGGAAGCGATTCAATCATGTTGGAAATATGAAGTCTCACATGTTAGTGCATTCAGGTGAGAAACCTCATGAGTGTCCAGAGTGTGAGAAGAAATTCAGTCGTCTTGGAGATATGAAGTCTCACATGTTAGTGCATTCAGGTGAGAAACCTCATGAGTGTCCAGAGTGTGAGAAGAAATTCCGTCGTCTTGGAGATATGAAGTCTCACATGTTAATGCATTCAGGTGAGAAACCTCATGAGTGTCCTGAGTGTGGGAAGAGATTCAGTCGTCTTCACCATATGAAGAAGCACAGGATGGTGCATGGGGATGAGAAACCTTTTCAATGTGCTGAGTGTGGTAAAAAATTTAGTTTTCGCGAAACTATAATACAGCACATGTTAGTGAATTCAGGTGAGAAACCTCATGAGTGTCCAGAGTGTGAGAAGAGATTCAGTCGTCTTGCAGATATGAAGACTCACACGTTAGTGCATTCAGGTGATAAACCTCACAAATGTCCAGTGTGTGGGAAGAGATTCAATCACCGTGGAAATATGAAGAGGCACAAGATGATACATGCAGATGATAGACTAAACACTTGGAAGTGTGGAAGATAAGATCGTGGTAAGACACTCGTAAGACCTGGCGTTCCGCGAGCGCTATGTCATGGGTTCGTATCCTGGCCGGGGAGGATTTACTGGGCGCAATTCCTTAACTGTACAATACAATACAATACAATACAATTTTATTTAGGTAGGGTACATACATACAATAAATATTTACAAGGATTGTTTGACTTATAGGTAGAGCTAGTATATACAATGCCTAAAGCCACTATTACGCAAAGCGTTTCGGGCATGATAAACTTAAATGACAAGCTTAATACTAATTGAGCATAATGAGTAGAATGAAAACATAGATGAAAAAGCAGCACAAATACAATTATGTCGACAAACAGCGCTCTTTAAAGAAAAAAAAACAGACATTGGTTGACAATAGAAGGGTAAGGTAGGTTACAGGGAATTTATTAGGTATAGCTTCGCTTTTAATTTAAACTGGTTGAGAGAGGTACAGTCTTTAACATGGTTGGGAAGGTCATTCCACATTCTGGGCCCCTTGATTTGTAGAGCATTTCTAGTTGATTAAGTCGTACTCTAGGAATATCAAAACTGTATTTATTTCTGGTGTGATGCTCATGGGTTCTGATACAACCTTCTATGAAGCTTTTGAGATCAGGATTGGCATTATAGTTTAGCGTTTTATATATGTATAATACACATGAGAGAATGTGCTGTGACTTAATGTCTAACATATTCAGAGATTTAAGTAGGGGTACCGAGTGATGTCTGGGGCCAGAATTGGATATTGTCCTAATAGCAGCTTTGTGTTGAGTAATTAGAGGACGTAAGTGATTTTGGGTAGTAGAGCCCCAAGCACAAATACCATAGTTGAGATATGGATAGATAAGGGAGTAATAGAGAGTCACCAGGGCAGGGCGTGGTACATAATATCTAATAAATAAATAAATAAATATGGTTATTCAGGTAAGGTACATACATACAAGTGATGTTACATTAATGGATTGATATATAGATAGAGCTAGTACATACAATGCCTAAAGCCACTATTACGCAATGCGTTTCGGGCAAGAAAAACATTAATATCTAGAACTTAATACTAATTGAGCATAAAGAATAAAAAGTGTTGAAAACAAATACAAATAAAGATAAAAAAAAGGGGGAACATGACTGAAAAAGCAGCACAAATACAATAGGTTGACAAACAGTGTTGATTAAAAAAAAATAATAATAATAAAATAACAGACATGGGTTGACAATAAAGGAGTGAGGTGGGTTACAGGGAATTTATTAGGTAGTGTTTAGTCTTTATCTTAAACTGGTTGAGAGAGGTACAGTCTTTAACATGGTTGGGAAGGTCATTCCACATTCTGGGTCCCTTGATTTGTAGAGCATTTCTAGTTTGGTTAAGTCGTACTCTAGGAATATCAAAACTGTATTTATTCCTGGTGTGGTGCTCATGGGTTCTGTTACAACCTTCAATGAAGCTTTTGAGGTCAGGATTGGCATTACAGTTCAGCGTTTTATATATGTATAATACACAAGAGAGAATGTGCAGTGACTTAATATCTAACATATTCAATGATTTGAGTAAGGGTACCTAGTGATGTCTGGGGTCAGAGTTGGATATTGTCCTAATAGCAGCTTTGTGTTGGGTAATAAGAGGACGTAAATGATTTTGGGTAGTAGAACCCCAAGCACAAATACCATAGTTGAGGTATGGATAGATGAGGGAGTAATAGAGAGTAACCAGGGCAGGGCGGGGTACATAATATCTGATCTTAGAAAGAATGCCAACAGTTTTTGAAACTTTTTTTGATATATTTAGAATGTGACCCTGGAAATTCAG